AACCATTAACAATTTTCATCGTACGACCTCATCTAAATTTAGAGTAGCACCACATAGATATATAACTCAAACTAGAGTAGCAGTTAATGGAGCTGTAACCATTACAATTTCAGCAGATTAATTGAGCGTCCTCGATTTTGACAAGTAGAATGTCAGTGAACAAGTGGTAGTGATCATCATTAGCATCAGTAGCAACATATGCAGCTTAAACATTATTGGCCTCAGTGATGTGAATGATGGACACAAAGTATTGATTTGCTTTCGATGCCTTCCTCTTGTTTGGAATCAAATGGATAACTTGGTTGTCAACAAGGAGAAGACACAGAAAGCAAACATATGTGCTGCAACCTAATACATCCAACAACCATGTAGACACCATTGGCACAGAAATGTGGCCTCAGATATGTTACAAGTTCAAAATACCATAAGGACTCACTAGTGGCACTGGAGCATATGAAACATAAATGTAGAATCAAGCAAGCACTGGACAGAAAAAATAGTTTAAGGTAGAAGAGAAGGGCCTGTATGTTTGCCTAGACAGATAGGTATAATCAAGTAAGCACTCGATAATTAATAGGCCTAGTTGCACATAGGCATTTACAGTAAGAACACTGAACATATGCAGAAAACCAAGACACCAGCAGAAAACCAACCAGTGCCACCTCCTAATTCTTTTCATCAGCATTGGGCTAACCAGATCTGTAACGCTATAATGTTTCTTGTATACCTCAAGCTCAAGAAAGGACCAAAATAGTGAAGGCAGGAAAAGGCAAGAAAGGAGACCTATAGATCGGATCTATCGGCTCTGCTGCGGCACACGATGGACACGGACGCCAATGCCACCGTGCTCCACCGGAAAGACCCGCTATTGGTATTTATTAACTTGTCACTTGTTTTAGTAGTCACCTAATATATGTCTACATCTCTTAACATTACTTTACCAGGTTATCATCCCTAATGATGATGCCAGAGACGCTTGTTGGTACTACCTAGCATTACTACTAGAGTAGTTCTTTATTATTTCATGTGACTAAGAAGAATATATAGATATATATGAATGAAAGGAATCTGCAAGCGCACAGATAATATACCATTGTAGCACTTCACCCAAGAGTATTCTAGGTATCGGTATTTATATTTTTACCACAGGGAAGGTCTGGCAAGGACATGTATTGATAACTTATACTATTAATGGAGGAGTAAACCATAACCAATATTTTACTCACAACAGGGGTAAGTCAAGAGGTAAATGTATATATGAATAGTGCATAATATCTAATCATTGATCACTCAGAGTACTCCTTTCTATGGCATTAGCATGGTCAAGTAGAATATTAGAGGAATAATTGCAAAGTCATTCTTCATTACAAGTCAAAGCATATATTGATTAGTACAATTACACCTAGTAGTCATGGCTAAGATCAACTTCATACCGACACATAAGGGATATTACTAAGGAAGATTAAGAATAGAGCTTGTCTTTCTTTGTAACTAGATCCTACTTGTATACCTATATTTGGGGAGTGGACTACAAAGAACTCAACAGGAGTGTCACATCCGCGATCTACCACGTGATCCGGAATATAGGGTGTATCTGTAGGGAAACAACGTATAAACACAATGCTTACACAATGTCGACCACTCACCCCTGGTACCTTAGAGTGAGCGCTATATGAACTTATGCACAAATATAAGGATAATCTAGCTATACTAAGTATATAATCAAAGTAGACCAAGAATATTACAACTAGGAATATGATAAATATGAAGATGAATGTCATAACAATTGTTGCAAACATATAAAAGTAATGCGAGATACAAAAGAGAGGGGGTACAAAGATTATACCAAACCATGCTCTTGACACGATCAGGAATCCAAGCAAAATCTGCTTGCCTCCCTCTAGACCTAGCCTAACTAGCTATGCCCTAGAATATGGTGGAGCTCTAAGGATTATTAGGGTTTCTGTCTTCTCTTGAATGCAATGCCTGAGGGAGGAGGGTAGGGGCAGGTATATATAGGCCAGAGCGTCAATCCTGAGCCCTTGGATTAAACCGACTTGAATAAATGGCATAGATGCAATCTAGGAGGCGGTGGAGAACCGACATAGCAACGGTGGGATGACATGTGGACCCCAGGGGCCGGCCGGTCCCACCTAGCGGCGTCTTGCCCCCCGCTTCGATGTGGAGTCCTCCCGAGACTTCTAGAACCTTCTGGTGTCCATTTCGCTGTGGGATAGCACGATTAAGTCTGACATCTAGGTCCACCTTGGTGGTTTTCTAGATAAACCCTGCAAAAAATATAGATTCACCAAAACTCATGGAATTTGTTGGTTTAAACCCCTAGACCTTTGTTGGCGATTATATCTTTGCCCTTATACATGTTATATTGACGGTTTATAATGATTGTTAACTACCGTCAACAAACTCCCCTAAGCTTAACCTTTGCTAGTCCCTGAGCAAAGCTAAACTCAATAAATGGATCAGGAGTTGCTTCAATGTTTTCACTCCACAAAAGTACACATGTGTTCAAACAAGAATTCTCCTCTGGATTAGAATGAACCGATCTGACTTTTAAACTTACCCATATTACCTTCAACCATGGGGTTTCTTAGCCTTCACTTGGGTCTTTAGCAATTGAAAGACAGAACGATCAAGTCAAGCACTATGTTTTAAGTTCTTCGCTCAACCATTATTCCGAAGTTTTTATAAATTTTTTAAATAAAACTCATAGCTTCTTTTGTATGACACTCTCAAGTCTCTCAATATATGTGGTTTTTGTAGATCCTCACCAAGGCAATAGTGATTCTATGCCTTTCTCTTCCTACAACTAAGGCTTATATAGAGCTTATAGGAGTGAAAAAGCATGAAAGAGCATACTTGTAATACATATATTGTAAAGTCAAACCTCGGATCTAAAGAGAGTCGAGTCATACAATCAAATCAAGATGTGCATGTGTAGGGATGTATGGTGGATATATATATGGTGGCTAATATATTTCTACTATGCTCCTTGAAAACATATCTCTTTGAAACTTTGGAAAATACTTTGCAAGAAAACATGGGTTATCTTATTCATCTCTCTCTTTTTTCAGGCGGGCATCTGAGTACCCATTGTTTTAGCAACGGGGGGCTGACATGTGGGCCCTAGGGGCCGGCCGACCTGCAGGTGGGGCCGGCCGGCGGCGTCTCGCCCCCGCTTCGGTGTGGAGTCATCTCGAGTCTTCTGGAATCTTCTGATGTCGTTTCGCTATGGGATAGCGCGATTAAGTCTGACATCTAGGTCCACCTTGACGGTTTTCTGGATAAGCCCTGCATAAAATACATATTTACTAAAACTCGTGGAATTTATTCATTTAAATCCCAAGACCTTTGTTGATGATTATATCTATGCCCTTATACATGTTATATTGTACTGTACGTGCTGAATTTATTCGTTGAATTTTTAGTGCCTACGTAAGAAAATTCTGTTATTGTTCCTAGACTTATACATCAAAAACTGAGAAACATGTAGTAGTGACGGAAAGGCTAGCGCTCGGACATCTGGCCGCAGGACTCGTCCGGATGCTGCTCCCGTACCTGCGCCTGTATCGCATCCCACGCCCCCGCGCCCCGCATCCCATCCCATGCCGGCGCCTGCGTCCAAACGCAACACCCTCGAAGACCACCACCCCAACGCCAACGCCAACACCAACACCTAGGCGAGACAGAGAGAAGGGAAGGGAGGTGAGGAAGAGGAGATGAGAGGGCAAGGCGTGCCGCGCGAGGTTGGAGCCGAAGCCCTGCGGCAGGCCGCTGTCCGCCAGCCACTAGCGTAATTGCAACATGTGCAACACACGATCTACTTTGAAATATCCAGATAAAATATTTACAACATACGTCTATAGACAAATAAAATACTTGAAACATGCATCTGAAATATTTGCAAAAACACCTGAAAACATATGAAAAGTCATTCCAAACATATGCAACATCCAGATAAAATGCTTTCAACATATGTTTGGAACATATAACATCCAAATAAACACACTTGCAACATAAGTCTAAAAACAGACAAAATATTTGGAACATACACTTACAACATACATGTATAGCCATTGCCATATGTGCAACATTTCAATCTACTTTTACAACATCTAGATGAAACACATGCAACATCCAGATGAGATATCTGAAACACTTGAAACATACGCTCGCAACATGTGGTTTCAAGCAATGTCACATTGCAGCTTGGAGGAATGGAGGCTCGTCATTGCAGAGCTCGATGCTGGCACGGAAGTCGGCGGCGGCACATGAAGCTCGTCGGTGCGGCACCGGCGCGGGCAACTCGCCTGTGGGGCGGCGTCACATGAAGCACCTCAACGCGGCGGCGGCGGCAGCACCTCGACGCGGCGGGGGACGGGTCACGGCACACAACGGCAGGGAATCGGGCACGACGCGTAGGGGCGGAGACGGGGCACGGCACGGCGCGGCACGACGCAACGCAACGCGGGATGGGAGTGGTGCGGCGGCGAGGCGGCTTGGGGTGGGCGGCGCGGCGAGCCGCAACGAGCGAAGCGAGCCGAGAGTTGGGGATTTCTCGGTTGTCGCAGTGTAGAGATGGGAAAGAAAGCGTAGATGAGCAGGCCCGTTGGCTAATGTGCCGATCGCTGCACAGACTCGGGGATGGGGCATATAGACCCTCACCGGAGCATTAGCGTAAGAAAAACAAAACCCGTCCAATCCAGTGATTATTCATCACCGGCAAGCCACTCGCTGAAGCTGGATGGCCATCCGCCATGAATAACGGCAGATGCAAGGACGACAGGCCGTGCCAAGACGCAATCAGGTACCGGTTGTCGCTTGCGGTCCAGTACTCCAGTGTCGTCAAAATTTCCACATCCAAGTCGAAGAACAGGTCGTTGTCACCCTAACTTCCGTCACTTGACTCTCACGCACAGCCTCGCCGAATAAACCAGAACAACCCTCCGGGCCTCTCCCTCGGCTCCGCATTCACACACGCGATGGCTCCTCTGCTCCTGCTTCTGCTCCTGCTCCTCCTCGCCGTAGCCGATGCCGTCCCCGATTCCTGCGCCAGAGCCACATGCGCCGGCCAGGACATCCACTACCCGTTCTGGCTCAGCTCCTCCGCGCCCGACTGCGGCTACCCCGGGATCGGCCTTGTCTGCCAGGACAACTCCACGCTGATCCTCCCCTTCAAGTCCCACAGATACATAGTACTCCGCATCGACTACAAGACGCATAACGTCCTAGTCTCCGACGCCGACATCGTCGACGAGTACGCGGTCGGCTGCCCGCGCCTCCACGTGAACCTCACCATCGACACCGTCTGGCTGCGGCTGGCGCCCTCCGATTCCAACATCACCTTCCTCTACAGCTGCAAGAAGAGCATTACCCTGTCATCTGCCGTGGAGCTGAGTGGGTGCGGCCAGCCACAACAACAAGACGGCAATCGGTCGTACGTGCTGCGGGACGGTGGGATCACGGGTGCCGAGGCGTACGAGTTCGAGTGCGAGGAGGTGGTGGTGGCGCCGGTGCTGGATGTACACAAGAAGGCAATCGTGGGCGCGCCTGACGATCCGCCTCCGGCGAACGGATCGTTCCGTGAGGTGCTGCAGGGCGGGTTCGAGCTGAACTACGACACCCACAACCACCAGTGCGACCGATGCGAGGGCTCCGGCGGATGGTGCGGCTACCAGCGCGACGAGACGCACGCCGGCGGCTTGGCGTTCACCTGTTTCTGCGAGAGCGGCCCGAGCTCGGATCGATGCGGTACGTGTGTCTCCTCTTCGCTCTTCCCCAGCGTTGGAATTTACTTCTCTTTGATTTTTTTTTTCCTGCTTGCTTTCATGCTTTGGGTTATGGAATGTGTGTCCGTTGTTCATTGCGGGCGCATGTTTTTGTTTGTTTGTTTGTTTATTTTGTGCTGCAACAATTTGTGGACTACTACTAGCAACAGAGCAAGTTCAGATGGAGAAAACTAGCCTTCTCCATGTTTTAGTCAGCCACCAGAATTATCAGCTGCTTTGTTCGGCAGTTAGGTGCGCCGCGCTCAGTTGTTGCCTGGACAGGACCTCTGTGGAAAATTAGTTCAGTGCGACGTCACCCGACTGCCGGTTCCGTCAAAACCAGAAGCGGCGGCGGCGGCCCAGTGTTCTCCAGTGCATAGCAGCCTGGAGAGTGGGCACGGGCAAACCTGAAGCCAGGTGCCGCTCGCCTGCTCTGCCTTCGGTTATCACCATTCAGGAAAACGACTGACGGAGTGACGGCCTGACGGGACTGGAGCACTAAACGCGCGTCATTCGGATCATGTTTCAGAACGAAAAAATCTCGCCTGGAAACGTAGAATGCTCGCGAGGTTGGTTTCGTTTCACGGTAGCTGAAGAAACTGGCGGGAGAAGCTTACGGCCCTACGCACGGGTCCTCAGTCCATTGGTCTTTCAACCCCGTGTTGAATGCATCTCCGTCTAGTCGTTGCTTGTTAACGTTTGGGTTGGTAGTACTGAGACTTCAGCTAGTTTAGCGGACTAAACTCAGGTTACGGCGCCTCGTTACGTCTCCCGTGATCTTCTCTCGGGCTGGACTCCACAGAAGTCAGCAGATCGAGGGATGAGCTCTCATTGGTTGGATTGGCATGGGTGGTCTACAAAGGTTGTTCCGTTCATACTGAAGAACGTCACCTCCGCCAGTGACATGTTCAGAAATCAGAACTTCAGATAGAAGTGATATGTTCAGAGAAATCGGAGTTCAGAACCAGGACTTTGTTTTCTGCGATTTTCCTTTTTTCAGAACTAGCTCTTGTGCTTAGAGCATGATCAGATCATCAAATAAACTACGCACACGTCGGTATTATATTAATATTAGTAGGTTGCGAATTGCGATCCGCTGTCAGCAAAGTAGCTTTTGCGAACCTCCAATGCATACTGTTCACAGAAAGGCCTAATTTCTCCGGTTCTGATTAATAGGATAGCGGAAAGAGAGTATCGGTATTGCGCTGTGCACCTCAACTCGTACGAGTTGCACTCTAAGAGCATCTCTAGCCGTACCCCTAAATCAAGACCCTTTGTTTTATGAGTTTGGTTCTTTCGCTGGGACTCTTTGTTTGCCTAGATCAGGGTGGTTGTACCATCTGAATTGGACTAAAATTCGATGAGATGGGTACAAATGCTGCAACTTATATTGTTTGTTTGAGTTGTACCAAATAGATCAAACAGGTCTTGGATTTATTTACCTGCATCAACCTTGGGCCCAGGCTCCTACACTCACAAGCAGCTTCTTCACGTGCCCCAAGGCCGCAGCATGCAAGCTAGCAGCGTGTTCGGCTGGCTGGTTGTCTATTTTTTCAGCCGGAGTAGTGTTTTTCTCTCATGAAATTTCAGAATGAACAGTGTTTCCAGCATGAACAGTGTCGGATTTCATTCCAGGCGAACACTCCGTAGGCTAGGGAGAAAATGAGATCCAATTTCGTTTCCCTGGGTCTAGATTTTTGGACACTTTAGAAAGCGTGCGGCCTAGCCCACTAATCCATTCAGGCAAACAAACAAAAGAAGATGCCTCCCAAAGGCTAGTTTCCGAATTGGTATAGACAGACAAACACACCACCATTGTCTCTAGCGGTACCTCTAAACTAGAGTTCATATTCTTTTTTCTCTCCAATTTCAGCATTTTGACTATGTATTTGCATCATTCTGCCTCCACAATTAAAAATACTTTAATGCATAGATTTGAATTTGAACACCACAATTAAAATTTGAAGTCAAATTTAAATTTAAAGGATGTAGAACAAATATAAAATAAATAAAGTTTAAAGACGGTTTGTTCCACATGATAAACAAAAATCAAATAGATGCATCACCACCGAATCTATTATCAACAGCAACTCGACCACCACCATAGATGAGCTCGGGGCGGCTTGGGATCTACCAGGCCTGCCCACTTCTCTTCCAATGTTGGAGACTGCAAGTGAGGCTACAAAACAGTCAAGAGGGATGAAACATTTTGGAAGGAGGGGTGGATCTAGCCGATGGCAGGACGAAGAGGGGCGGTGAGGATGGATCTGCCACTTCCTCTTCCAACACCGACAAGCACGTAGGAGGCTGCTAACCTCGTCGCCCCATCCAACGTGCCACTGAAGACAACCACTTTGAACCAATGGAGTTTGAAGACAAGGGCAAAATAAAAGTCGTTTCCCCCACGTTTATCTCCACAAGTACGAGAAATTAATAAAATAATCAGCGGGATGCGTTTTAAAAAAAAATACACGCTTTCATAATGGTACTAGACAATTTTTTGAGTTAACGGTGCCCATCAACAAATACCATATTTCTCCGATGTCCCTCAACAAAATTTTCTTTTGTTACTAAAGATGTACATGAAAAAAAAAACAGCTTGTCCCAGCTCCTTTCTCGCTCTCATGAGCCCCATCGTGACCATGGTCAGATTTGCTATCACGGACACAGACATGGGTTGCCGATGTGCACGGGCGTGGCCGCCAGGGCACGCGAACGTCGTGAGCTTTCAGGGTGGGGGCACAGGGCTTAGGCCCTGGAGCATAGGAGCGTCGGGAGAGGCATGGGGAAGAAAGAGAGGTTGTGTGGAAGAAAGACGAGAAAAAAATAAATGAGGAGAAGAAAAGATAAGGGCATTATGATCATTTCATTCTTTATGAGGAGTTGTTTTGCCAAACATTTTATTAAAACAGCTTAACTTTATTAGTGGAGCTATCTTGCAGCAGAACAAAAAAAACTACTCGGCCTGTGAAGTACTCCCTATGTCCTTTAATATAGTGCATTCAAGGAATTTAAAGACAAATGAAGAGAGAACATAAAAGACGCATATATCATCATTTTATTTTCTAATCAGACACTATCATCAACGTGATTAATGGTGATTGATCTATAAATGGAAAGTATTTAATGCAAAACTAGATTTTGTTCTCTAGAATACCTTATATTTGAGGATAAATTTTGACGCATATACCCTTATTTTATTTCCTAATCAGACACTATGATCAACGTGATTAATGGTGATTAAATGAAAAGTATTTAATGCAAAACTAGGTTTTGTTCTCTAGAATACCTTATATTTGAGGATAAATTTTTAATGCTAAAATACACTATATTACAGGACGAAGGGAGTAGAGCTATACTAAATGAGCCTTGACACTCCTTCTGGGATCATCAATTGGATCCGGGCAAAATGGCCCAATTCGGACTGTCCGTTGGGCCATAAAAAAAAGGCAACATGTCGTATACTATGGGCATGCGTATGCTAAAATTTAGAGCCTAAACTAGGCATGAACTAAATTTGGCTCAGATTGTTACATGTATGTAAATTTAGTTGGGTTACGTTCAGCGGCGGATCCAGAAAATATTTTAGGGGGGACTAAACAACACATACCTTCGACTGCTGCTCGATTTTAAGCATCAGCCCCACCTACACTATAAAACTTTGTCTAAAAATTCATGAGGGCTCGACAGGGAGTTCCACGGCTCCTCTAGCGGTAGAGGGGGCTTGAGCCCCGCCCGCCCCACCGCTAGATCCGCCGCTGGTTATGTTGCCTACTCCTGACGTATTTGGTTTAGTGCCCAAGCTAGCGATCAAATTTAGGGCCCATTTGAATACTAAAGCTTGGTTCCTAGTTACGGATAAAAATTAGCTAAAATTTATTTGGTTGGCTAGCTAGTTGGCTAATAGTTAAAGATTTGTTAAAAAAATAGCTCACCTATTAACTTTCCTGTTGAGACATATTTGAGCTAATTCTATTTTCTAGCTAGCTAGCAATTAACCTAAATAGGCTCTTAATTTGAAGCCCATGCATCCGGGCGAGGTTGTTCTGCACTAGGAGCCAGCCAAAAGACTTGACTCGAAGGAGGAGCTAGCATAGCTGATAGCTGTGCCAATGAAGTCACGGTGCGATCGGTAGACCTGACTAGGAGAGAGGCGACTTTATTCATCCCGGTCCCGGGTGAACGTAGTTTCGTGAAAAGGGCGAGGATATGCTACTAGTCGAGTAGACAAACAATAGAAAAGTGTGCAAACACGGAAACACTTACCGCACAAGCGCTGTCATTTAAAAGTCGCTGGTGGCATTACGAATGACCACTGCATCTTTTCCGGTTTCTCAATTCGACTTAATCTTGCTATATAGTGTGTGCCAGCAGGGCAGAAGGCACCTTTACCGAATGGAAGTCAACTAAAATCATACTCCGTACCAAGCAGTAGTGGGTTAAGATCGTATCTTGCCTGACTGGACCAACAAGCCTAGGGAGGACGTAGCAGGCAGCCTACGATCAGTGATCAAGCGGCTTGGCACGGACCGGAAAACCGCCAAGTACACGGTCAAGTCTCAGTCCGTGTTATCTCCTGCCCCACCTCCGGGCCCACCAGCAACCAACCTTCGCCGAAACCCGGTCAAGTCCATGGCACCTATAAACGGCGGCGGCCGCAAGTCACAAGCAACTGCGTGCCCAGTTGGAGCTAACAAAACAGCCAGATGAGCGCGAACCCACCTCGTCTTCTCGCCACCATGGCTGCTCACCTACCAGTACCACGTCTCCCCGTCCTCCTCTTCGTCTTCCTCGCCGTCCATGTCCATGTCCCTGCCTCCCATGCCATCCCTCCGTCGCTCCCGACCATCTATGACGGTTCGATTTGCTCGGAGTCGTTCAGGTGCGGCGGCGTCAGTATCAGCTATCCCTTCTACCTCACCGATTACGGATACAACTACTCCTGCGGCTACACCGACCTGAAGATTTTCTGCCAAGGCGAAGGGCCGACCGGGATCCCGGTCATCAGTCTCGGCGGCGAGAACTACGCCGTCCAGAAGATCTTCTACGACACCCACACCATCATTCTGGCGGACAGCGACGTGTTCGTCGGCGGCAGCTGCCCTGCAGTCAGCCACAACGTCACCTTCGACGAGACATGGCTGCATAACACCAGCTCCAACGCCAACCTCACCTTCTTCTTCGGCTGCCACCTAGGCGATTCCATGACGCTTGAGTTTGACGCATACAAAATCAAATGCGCGAATTTCAAGAGTCCGCCACATGCTGGCCCAGGAGACTCCTTCGTGGTCATGACTGATGAGCATGACAGGTATCTGGAGCAAGAATTGGCAAGGAACTGTAGCATGATTGTCACCGTGCCAGTGAACCACGATGTTCT